AAAAAAGCACTGTAATAATAGTGATACTGATAACCAACCTGTTGAAAATTTTGTGCTGCCTCTGCACCAGCACGTGCACAGATGGACGTCTCCAAAACCTCTAGAGCTCTTGAAGCACGAGCTCTTGCATCATCTATGTTAGAAGCATTCATCATTTCTCTTACAAAAATCTCCACCCAGTCTGCACCATCCAATTGGAATACTTCTGGAGCAGACTGATCCTTAGCAGCTGGAACCTCTCCATTACTTGTTCCACCTGCAATAAAATGATTCTAATTAATACTAAAGCATGTTGATGCCAAACAACTTAAAAGTAAAGGAGTTAACAATAATGAAAACAATAGCAGAAACTTAAGCAACCATGAGCTTTTGTGAATGCCAATCAAGGGAATAATGCTGCATATGTAAAAGAGAAAAGAACAATTAAGTGATCAATAACCGATAAATAAACTAATGGGTTAGAAAGAAGAAAGCACTTGTTCACATAGTTTTAAAGCAAAATATCTATCTAAAACAAACTGTAAAAGATTGAAATTGGGAATTGTTTCTGCTCTTGAGACTTATATCAGGACCAAAGTTGTGAGAGAGTTGAAAGGAAAAGAGAATGTAATTGAAAGTCCTAACTTAAATTGATGACATATGAACTTTTAATAAATCACTTAAATTTAATGGGCATGGAACAAATGTATAATAATAACACAATCTTAATCCAGGAAACTTCACAAACCCATGACCACAACTGTTAGCTGTTAGTTTGAATCACGGAATAAACATAAGAAAAACATGAGATAAAGCTAGAAAGTAGAAACTGAAAAAAGTCTACATCTATGATTAAAAATTGGCATCTGATTTTCATTTTGGTAGTCCATTAACACCGTTTTGATTGAATAGAACATAGTTAACCAAACCCACGAGACAAGCTGTATTGAATATTCGTACATTGAAGCTCTTATTAATATCATAAACACCACTAAAGGTTGAACGGTATACTGAAACCTCTAATGTATACACCAGCTTACAGAAGATCATATTTAAAGAAATAATTGATTTAACATATTCAGAAACAGCTGTGTAGCCCCCTCAAAGATATTGATCAAACCAAAAGAAATATGAATCTTTTAGGCATCTCAAGCTTTATTGAAATTCTGGAACCTATACCTTGTGCTTCAAGTTGAACTTTTTCTTCCACCGCCCCAACAGATTTATCAGCATTAGAAGCCAGATTTCTAACAGCAGATCCTAATCGAAGTTCATTCAATCTTCTGATTGCTGAATCCAGGTCATTTCCGCATTCTTCAAGTGCTTTCTCCAGAAGCTAGGGTGAAAGGAATTGAAAAAAAAATAAATTAGATGTTATGAATCCAATTTCCAATCTTATCTCAGAAATTACAAACAAAATTAAAATATCACAATAAAAAAATTAAAATTACAAAAATTGAACCAAAAAAAAAGGAAATTATAGAATAGGTTACCTGCTTATCCATCTCAGGGAAAATAGCAATTAATTGCTCGATCAGATGCGACGATTGTGACGGTGACAATGGCAGCGAAGAAGAAGAAGATGATGAGGAGGAGGAGGAGGAGGAGGAGAAGGAAGGTAACGAATTGGAAGCGAAGCGAGAAGAGCAGCGGATTCTCTTGGAGACGGGTTGTGTTGCAGTCAATTCCTCAAAGAAAGTTCTCTTTCCAGAAACTATGGCAGACATGTTTCAGCAATCGCCTGCTCTTTTTTTCCAATCCTATTTTGTTCCCTGACTCCTTCTACTCACCCCCAAATCATGCAGAATTATTCAAATCCACAAACAATTCAATCTGAGTGTCGATCAGATCGATCTCGATTTTCAGATAAAATTAACAGGATTCGATGAATTAGGGCTTCTCCTTCTCCTTGTTCTTCCTTTCCCCTCTGAATTTCGCCCCTCAATTTAGAAATGGGATAGAGAGGAAACGTAGCAGTGGATCGGTTTCGATTGCTTGCAGTCTTTGCTAATCATCGTCCATCCCTGCGGAACGAGGAAATGAAGGATAAAGGAGAGGGGATGATGAGTAACGCGATGTTGATGAATAAACCAATTAAAATGACCCACGTAAGGTGGTTATCCAATCGGGGTTTCAATTTTACTGGCCAATTAGAAATGTTTTACTGGCTATCGGATGACTGAAAAACAGGCACGTGCACTGGAAAATAGCAAGATATGTTAGAAGTGGCAAGACTACAGCAGCTCTTCTCCCGTGCACTATCATTACTGGAGGTGTTCCTATTTGATTCAAACCCCTCCGGAACCCCTCCGGTGGCACTATCATTGCTAGAGCTGTTCGTATTTGATTTAAACCAATTAATTTGACCAAAGCTGAACCAAATCAATTACTAAAATCAATTCAAACATATCTCAAATTTGATGTGTTAGAATTATAAAAAATTAAAATTAATATAATTAAATTAATTTGGTTTTTGATTTTATATTTAAATTGATTGATAAATCGGATTGATTATAAGATTATTTAGTGTGTATTCAGTGGAGCCACTGAAAGATCCTTCTCATGTGTAGTAAACACTCATTGTAGAAACAAACTCTCCGGACTGAAAAGCTGGTTTGAGCTTTTGATAAGTTGGTAACAAAGAAACAAAATATTCACGTATTTTGGCGAACTTCTAAACATCATTTGATGAAATATTGTCATCTTCCCATTTTGCCCCCACTCCTTAACTTGTTTACAACTAATGTATACGCCACAATTATAACAAATTTCTAACTCCACAACAAAGTGCTTCTTCTCCATGGTCTCTTGCCTCTCCTCCAACCAAATTTTCATCTTCTCTTGTTAGATGAACTTAGTTCTTACTTTCTAGTGTTTCTTGTGCAAGATCCTTTAAGTGCCTTCTTCACCCTCAACATGTGAAAGACAATGAAGAGTAAACTCCAATCACACGAACTTCTCTATTCTTTGTCCCATGCTTCATTCACTCTAGTTCTGTTCTTTGTATGTGGATCTTTCTTGTACAATGGATGATTGTTTCGTAACTTCACTTCAAGATCCCAAACATAACTTTATTATTAATAAAAAGTTAGTCAAAATAATTATTTGATATAATTTTTAATTTTATTCTTTTATTTATGTGATTAACATGTAACATATTTTATTCTCTTATGTACCTGCCTTCCCCCTTCTTCTAAGGTTCCCATGTATCAAAGTTTATTCGCTATCGACAACTAGTTCTTGTTTTGGGGTGTCCTCACTTGGGGGATGGTGTAGTTGCAAAGAATTGGGGGATGTTCCAAAACTCAAATCTTCAGTTCGGTTATCTTGCAAGACCTCGAGGTTGGTCCTCGGGGTAGACACTTCGATGCCTAAGTTAGCAATAATCGAAACTACCAGTTATAGAGCAAGAGCAAGAGCTAAGTTTGAGGTAGGTTTCAAGTACCTTTCTGAGGTGGACCCTAGGGGGTATTTATAAGCCTTCAAAGGGGTGTCCACGTGTTGATCCTTTCGAGAAACCAGGGTAATGCATGTCAACCATCGCAAGTATCTCTCATGAGGAATTTGTGTGCGTACGGAGCTACTGTGGAGCGGGAGCAGAGGGGACGAGCTCGAATTCGACTGAGCTCGTTGTTCTTCAATCAAGTCAAGGTAACTAGATTGCTAGGAACAATTCCGACTATTCGAGGTTATGTACCTTGGACTGTTATGAGGTATGTGACCTCTAATACCTCATGACCTTTGACTGCCAACATACCTTTGATACCTCATGACCTTTGACTACCACTACTACACTATTCCCCCCCATGAAGTCATTCACTTGTGAATGATACGGGAGTTTGTGTTGGGGTCTAGTTGAGGGGAGGATATCATGGCATGGGGTTAAGTGTTGAAGAGCGGAGGTTAAAATGCAAACCATGATTTGAAGTCATGTAACGTACAAACAGGGCCGAAGTGGGAATGGAGTGACACAAGGTCAAGGTGTACGGTTGGAGCCAAAGTGAAAGTAGCATGACACGTGGTCATGGGTGCGGCCGGAGCCGGAGTAAAAGTAGCATGACACCTGGTCATGGGGTGCGGCCTAAGCCGAAGTGAAAGTAGTATGACACCTGGTCATGGGGTACGGCCGGAGCCGAAGTAAAAAGTAGCATGACACGTGGTCATGGGGTACAGTCGGAGCCAAAGTGAAAGTAGCATGACACGTGGTCATGGGGTATGGCTGGAGCCGAAGTGAAAGTAGCATGACACGTGGTCATGGGGTACGACCGGAGCCAAAGTGAAAAGTAGCATGACACGTGGTCATGGGTACGGCCAGAGCCGAAGTGAAAAGTAGCATGACACGTGGTCATAGGGTACAGCCAGGGCCAAAGTAAAAAGTAGCATGACACGTGGTCATGGGATATAGCCCGAGTTGAAGTAAAAAGTAGCATGAGTGAACATTTTTCAAGAAATAACTAACGTGTAATACATTTGAAGGAGTCTGAAGTGGGAACGAAAATAAAATAAAATAGAATATAATGAAATAATTTAATCTGAGGTGACAGCTGTCTTCGCGTGCCATGCTGTAATAAATGTCGTCAGGAATAATTGCCGAATTCGAAAGGATGCAATTGTGGCCGTTAAATGTGAGCGATTGTGACCGTTAAAACGAGGGGAAAGCTGAGTATAAATAGCCAGCCTTGAGTTATTCATAATTTTACCTTGCTGAATTTGTAGCGGAGCCTTGCCGAAATCGCGAGAGAGCACTTTGTCCTCCGAGCTGACTGTTGCAGAGATCGTAATAGTTGTCAAAGCATTTGGACAAGTGTTTTACTTCGTCTTTCAAGAAACTAGGTAACTCTGAACTCTACCTCTGACTTAAGAAATTTGTTTTATTTTAGAAAAAAATATAGTCAGGGAAATTAGATGTTTAGTAGGAAGGGAAGTAGTAAAGGATAGAAACTGTAAGTGATTCTGATTACTGTTCATCACCTACTCCTTGTAGTGAAGATTGGGATACCAGAGATGTCGTCCAAAGGAATGTTAAACGTTGGAAGGGAAGAGGAGGTGAGGAGCTTCAGTTCAAGCTTGAGCTCGAGCTCAAGCTCCAACGGGGGAAGTGGGAGTGGCACCTCTATTAGTGGGGGCAATGGGGGTCAAAAGGATAGCATTGTCCCAACTAACATTTTAGAAGTTGGTGACAGCCAGGCAAGGTGCTATGACGAGAGGGAGGAGGTGGTGGGGGAGGTTATAGGATATAAATCATGCCGGAGGAAAAGGGGGGAGTTGGGGCACTTAGTGGAGAATTACAACATCCCCCGTCACGTGCTGGTGAGGTCAGCTGGAAGTGAGGAATGGGCATGTTCGGCTCTAAGAGATCATTGGATGCCACTATATACGCACTACCTAGCGGCTGGGCTTCGATTTCCCATTCCAAAACTGCTGGTAACGCTGCTGAAGGAGTATGGGTTGGGGTTGACACAGCTCATTCCAAATGGAGTTTGGCTGGTGGTAGGATTTTCGGTCTACTGCCAACTTCGGGGTGTATTTATCGCCACAGTAGATTTATTTAAGTATTTTTTATAATTAAGGGTGGAAGTAGGAAGGACAGAGGGTAGTTTTATTTTACACCTCGGGTAGCTGGAGGTAGAAGTAGAACTATTTATGGCAAGTTCTTCCTCCATTAAATGGTGGAAAGGAAGAAAAAGAACCCTAATTAGTACTGGCTGAGGGAGGTGGAGAAGGACGAGGTGGAGAGGTTGGAGAGGGCTGGGGGGAGCTGACAAACATAATGTACCTCACCAGTCCAGAGGTGGTGGGGTCGTCTAGAATCTATGGGAAGAGCTCGTTAAGCGGAGGTCTGTGTTAACTAATGAGATTCCATTTTAGAATAAGAGTCTGATTGTAACTTTTAACTCTATTTTGTTTTGCAGAGGAAATGAATCGTTTAAGAGCTAGAGGTAAGGCGATAAGACTTCTTGAGAAGAGGTCGAGGGCATCAGCTTCGGGTGCTCTAGAGGAACGAGTTGGGGGTGGGACTTCAACACCTCACCCTAGTGGTGGAGCTCGAGCTGAAGTGGGGCCCAGCTCGGAGCCAAGAAGGGGGTCCACAGAGGAAGGGGTCGCAGCATGGAAGAGGCTAGGGGTGGAAGAGGTGCAACCTTTGCAAATCGAGGCCCCCACTAAATTCGTACCTCGGCCTCCCCCCGTGCAGATTAACCCATCATTGCGGGAGGTAGAAGTTGTGGCACTTGGGAGGAGGAAGAGCTTCGTTCCTTATCCTAAGTAGGTCTCTAGCTTTTACGAGTCTGGGAGGACGGCTGCAAAACGTTTCATCAGTTCCCACTTCCCTAAGGTGGATCTGCAAAGGGCTAAGGATGAGGTGGCAACCAATGGGAGATCAGGGGTAGTTCGGCAAGCCCTAGAGGTAAGCTTTGCACTTCATTGACTTCAGCTCATTCATTCTTTTTTTTTTTAACTTCTACCTTTTTTGTAGACTGCAAACTTGGTAAATGCAATGGCGGTTGAGTTCTTCGATTGCCTCTGAAAGTGAATTGCCTTGGTTAAAAAGAACAAAGAGCTTAGCCGTCAAAAGGTGGCGGCTGAAAAGAACTTCAGTGATCTGACCTCGGAGCTGGAGAAGGTCAGTGAGGAGTCAACCGCTTCCAAGAGGGCTCATGAACTAGAAGAACAGAAGAAGAGGAAGTGCGAGAAGGCACTTGCAAAGAGGGATGACGAGCTGGCCGAGGCTAAAAAGACAATTGAGCTGGCAATCCATAACTCAGTGGAGCAGCACGTTTCAGACTTCATCAAGTCTCTTACGTTTTCCGAGGTGGTGGACCTCTACCGTTTGCTGACTTTGGTGATGGCCTTCGTTGACTTTGGTGATGGCCTTCATTGATTGCCATAAGAAGGTGACAACTCAGAACCCAAAGGTGGACGTGACAAACATCACATTAGGGTCAGAGGAGGCAAGGGTAGAGGAGAATGGGGATAGTAAGATAGTAGAGTTTCGTCTTGAGATAAAATTAACTTAGGAACGAGACGAGGCTAGGAAAACTGTCCTCCTTCATACCTTGGAGTTCAAGTTCGTCGCCATCGATGAGGAGGAGGCTGAGGTACCACCAGTGACCGAGGTGGCTGATAATGTGCGAGACGAGGAAGTGGACCAACAACATCAGATCATTGACTGAGCTCGACCAACTCGTTCCCTGCTTTGTATTGTTTTTATTTTTATTTTATTTTAAGAACAGTTTATATTTCAGTTCGGATTAATAAATTAGAATTTTAAAAATTGATGTTTATTGTTCTAGCCTTAAAATGACTTCTGACCTTGAAATTATAGCGAACTAGCAGTTAATACAATCGATAAAAAATACTAACTTTTTGTCCTTTAAGAATAAGAGATCAAAAATATAATTGTATTTTACTCAAGGTAGAGGTGAACTTGTGATTTCAAGTTCAGAACTTAAGAATTTGAGTAAGATGAAGTTTCATTAAGGATAAAACTTCTTCAAGTTATTTACATTCCAAACCCTAGGAACTCTTTTACCCTCAGCGTCTACAAGCATATAAGTGCCAGGGTGTGGTATTTCAGCTATTATATATGGGCCTTCCCAGTTTGGCGCCAATTTTCTGAAGCATGTTTTGAAGCCAGTCAGTCCTACCTTTCTAAGGACGAGATCACCAACTCTAAATGTTTGAGGTCGAACTCGTCTATTATATGAGTTGGCCAATTTCTGCTAATATGCTAATGTCTGAAGTCGAGCTTCCTCGCGGACTTCGTCTAAGCAATCAAGATTTTCTCTGAGCAATTGCTCATTTCAAGTTGCGTCAAAATGGGTCACTCTTAAGCTTGGGACGCCCATTTCGACAGGAATGACTGCCTCAGTCCCAAAAGCCAAGTGGTAGGGCGTTTCGCCTAATTAGGAGAAATTGTAATTTTAGAGTTTATTTCATATAACTAGTAATAGCCTTAGATGAAAGGAGAATAAAAAGCTGGTTAAGTTGCGTACCTGTGGCTGTTCGGCTCGTAGTTCGGTAAGCCCATAGAACATTGTTGAGCTCGTTTGCCCACTTGGCTTTGACCTGATCTAGCCTCGGTTTGATGCCTTCCAAGATGGCTTTATTGACAGGCTTAACCATTCTGTTTGCCTCAGGATGATAAACAGAAGTGAACACTAATTTTATCCCTTAGCTGGAACAAAAGTCTTTGAAAGAGGAACAATTGAACTGAGGTTCGTTGTCGATGACAACTTGATTTGGAATTCCGTATTTGCATATAATTGAGCTGAAAACAAAGTGTTCAATCTTTCTCGAGGTTAAACTAGAAAGAGGTCGAGCTTCCACCCACTTTGTGAAGTAATCAACTGCTACGACTAAGTGCGTTACTCCCCTTGTACCCTTGATAAAAGGACCTAGGAGGTCAATCCCCCACTGTGCGAAAAGCCAAGGTGCCACCAAAGTAGTGAATTCTTCCGTTGGTTGGTGCATGAGATGTGCAAAGAATTGGCACTTTTGACATTTCTGGACATGCTTCTTGGCATCTTCTTGCATGTTAGGCCAGTAGTATCCCTACCGAAGTATCTTATGGGCCCGGGTCCGAGCTCCGATGTGATTCCCACATACACCTTCATGCACCTCGCGAAGAGCGTACTTAGCCTCATAAGGGGTTAAACAACAAAGAAGAGTAAGTGAGAATGACCTCTTACACAAGACACCATCCACCAAGGTGTACCGAGATACTTTTCTTCGTAACTTCATCTCTTCTCTTTTGTCGTTGGGGACAATCCCATCCCGGAGATAAGCTTGAATGGGATCAATCCAACTAGGGGTTTCAAGATTGATACTGACCTCCATCACCTTTGACCTCTAGAAGCTTGGTTCATCTAGGACTTCGACAAAGATTGACCTCAGTCCACCTGAGCTGTCGGAGGCTAATTTTGATAATGAATCAACATGTTCATTTTTTTGACCTCGAGATTTTTGTGAGCCGAAATCTTTGAAATTGGCTTTTGAGCTTGGAAACCATGGCTAGGGAATTGGCTAGGGAATTGGCTAGGGAAAGGTTTGTAACCTCACATGTAGAATTCGCTTGGTTGACTACAAGTTGTGAGTCACTGTAAACCTGTAGGGATCTAACCTGCAACTCTGTTGCCAAGCGAAATCCGAGGAGAAATGCCTCATACTCGGCCATGTTATTTGTTGCTTCGAAATTGAATTTCAGGGCATGCTCACTTCGGAAGTTCCCTAGCCTTATCAACACTGCTCTAGCACCCGACCCTTTACTGTTTGATGACCCATCGACATAGAGGGGTCCAAAGTTCAGTCTCAGAATTGACGTTCTCATGGCCTAATGTGCATTCTACAACAAAGTCTGCTAAGGTTTGAGCTCGAATTGACGATCTCTGCTAGAATGTGATCTAAAATTCCCCCAACGCCACTACCCACCCACTTGATAAGTTTGCCCGAGCACTCCGACTTCTATAAGATCTGTCTCAGAGGTTGATCAGTTAGTACAACAATGAGGTGAGCTTGGAAGTGTGGCCTCAGCTTCCTTGCCATGGTGACAACTGCTAGGGCTGCCTTTTCTACAATGGAGTATCTCAGCTCGGCTCCCTATGGCACTTTACTGGTATAGTACACTGGTTTCTGTTGTTTCCTTACTTCTTTGACTAATACTGAGCTTATTGCTGTATTAGATATCCCGAGGTAGAGATAAAGGATCTCACCATTTTTGGCCTTAGTTAACAGAGGTGGTGAGCTGAGGTATGACTTGAGTTCATTGAAGGTGGTTTGACACTCTGAGGTCCATTCAAACTTCTTAAGCTTCCCTGTTTCATCTTTTTGGGCCGCGGATCTCAGGATTTTGAAGAAAGGCAAACATTTATCTGCCAACTTCTATATGAACCTATGTCGAGCTCCTATTCTCCAAGCTAAGCGCTACACATCTTTAATTGACTTCAGTGGTTTCATCTCTTCTATTGCCTTGATATTCTCAGGATTGACCTTTATCCTCTTCCTAGAGACCATGAACCCCAAGAATTTGCCTGATTCAATGCCAAAGACACACTTGGCTAGATTTAACCTCATGTTGGGTTTCCTTAGGTTGTTAAATGTTTCTGCTAAGTTGGTTAAGTGATCCTCTGCCTTGAGACTCTTAACTACTATGTCATCGACGTAGACTTCTAGATTCCTGCCGATTTGAGCTCGGAATACAATCGTTACCATCTTCTAGTATGTAGCCCTAGCGTTCTTGAGCATAAAAGGCATCATTACACAGTAGTAGATCTCATCACCTGCGTAGAAGAAGGTCTTCACCTCATCCTCGAGTGCCATGTGGACTTGATGATATCTCGAGTAAGCACCTAAAAGACTAAGCCTTTCATTTCCGGATGCAGCTTCCACCAATTTATCTATACTTGGCAAGGGATGGCAATCCTTTGGGCAAGCCTCAATTAGATTTGTGTAGTCAATGCACATTCTCCATTTTTCGTTTGACTTCTTAACTAAAACAAGATTAGCAACCCATTCACAATAGTCTACCCTTCTTACAAACCCTGCCTGCAAAAGTTTGTGCACTTCTCCCCTAATTGCTTCCAGTCTCTCTCCTCCAAACAGACGTCTCTTCTGTGCTACAGGCTTCTTCAAAGGATAAGTGCTTAGTTTATGTACTGCAACTAAGGTGGGTATCCTAAGCATATTAGCTAAGGTCCATGCAAACACATCTCTGTTCAACTTTAGAAAGCTAATGAGCTCTTCTCTCTCTTTTGAGCTTAGCTTGGTCCCAATCTACGTCTTCTTAGTGGGATCATTGTCGTCGAGCTGTACCTCTTCCACCTCTTCTGCTGGGGTGGCTTTGGCTTCATCCTCATGTTTGTTATCCGTCAGTTTGACACCCATTACTTGTTATGTAGCTGGGACTTCAGGCTGAGCCAACTCTAGAGGTGTTACTTGCTTATCCTTCCAAGGTCGGGTGACCAAGGTCATGTAGCAGTGCCTGGCCACCTCTTGGTTGCCTCTCAGAGTTGCGACTCCCATGGGGGTAAGGAATTTCATGCAAAGGTGGAACTGTGAGACAACAGCTCGAATCTCGGTGAGAGTTGGTCTTCCAATGACGATGTTAAAAGATGACACCATCTTCACTACCAAGAACCGAACTAAGGGAGTGACATACGTCTGACCTGAGCCGAATGCTACATTGAGTTTGAGGACTCCTTCCACAAGCATTGACTAATTATTGAATCCGTAGATGGGGCCATCGTACTTCTGTAGAAGGGTAGGGTCAAGGCCAAGGCTCTCAAAGCAGTGATAATACATGATGTCCGGAGCACTTCGTGTGTCGACAAGGACGCGTTGAACTTTTCAGTTATTGACAATGACCAAGGTGATAAATGGATCATTGTGTGGCATGACAACACCATCAAAATCAATTGAATTGAAAGTTATAGGTTGGTTCTTCCAGTCTGCCTCATCAAATTTTCTCTTCTGAACTCGATTCTGGTGTTTCACCTCCCTCACATACAACTTCTGCTATTTTGAGCTCGTCCCTCCAGCTTTTAGCCCACTAGTTATCATGTGAATGATGCATGATGGTGAAGGGAGAGGGGGTGGTGCTTGTTGATAGCCAACTCCAATTCTGTTGCTTGCATCCCGAGATCCTTGAAGTCGTCCCTATTCTCAAATGAACTTGAGCTGGTCCTTGTTGGAGATGTAATCATTCAGCATCCCTTTTCGAGCTAAACCCTCGAGTTCGGACTTCAAACTATGACATTCCTACGTGGTGTGTCCATGATCCTAGTGGAAGTCACAACATCTGCTATTATCTCTAGAGGTAGGTGAACTCCGCATCAGTGGGGGCCTTCTAAGCTCCATTTTGTTCTTGATTTGCATCAAAATGTATGACCTCGGCAGTGTAAATGGAGTCCAGGTGATTTGCTTTGTCATAGGTTGTAGGGTATTCAGGGTGGGCCTATCAACTTTAGTTGGGAATGGACCTTGATTTTGTGTCACTTTGAATCTCTTCTTATTCTGCCCTTCAACTCTCCACGTCGGAGGTCTGACTTCTTTACTTGGTGTTGGCTTACCGGATAAGGCGTATTCCTTGGCTTGAATGAACTTCCAAGATCTTTCATTGGCTTCATCAAACGTGGTGGGGGGTGCTTTATCAAGCTATCTCGGAACCTCTCGTGCTTAAGACCTTAGATTATGGCAGCTAGTCCCATAGCCTGATTAAATGAACTGATCTCCAGTATTGCATCATTGAATTTATTCATGTAGTTCTTCAAAGATTCACCTTCTCTTTGGGCCACCCGCATGAGCTCGAAGGTCGTCTTTCTAATCAGTCGACGACTTGAGAACTTCATTGCAAAAGATGCCGCCAGCTCGGCATACAAACTGATCGAGTTCAACTGCAAACTATAGTACCAAGTCCAAGCGTTTCCACACAATGTAGAAGGGAATATTGTGCACATCAAGGCATCTGAGGCATTCTGAGCTTGCATAACGGAGCACAATGCGTGCAAGTGGTCATAAGGGTCCTTAGTGCCATTATATGTCTCGAACTAAGGCATTTTGAATCCAGATGGGTATGGTTCTTGGATGATGTTGGTATTAAGGGGGGTCAAAATTGGTGTAGAACTGGATTAAGCCAGAGGTTGGGAATTTCGATTCTTGGCCACCATTCTTTCTAGGTTGTCTAGCCTTTTGGAAATATTTGAGACAACTGGTTAGGGTGGTCGTACAGGTGGAGGTGCCATGTGGGAGTGGCCTTGAGATTCGCTCTAAGGCGGGACGACGGTCTGCGTTGGTGAATTGACATTTTGTTGAGGCTGGTGATTGGGTGCTTGGTTAGTTGGGTTTAATATGGTGATGAGGGGGTCACTTGGGTTATCTCTGGCTAACAATTGTGCAAGAACAAGCTAAAACACACCAAACTGTTGTTGCATAACGTTGAGTTGGGTGGCTATGGGATCATTTGGGATCTCTGCTAGGTGCAAGTTATTTTCCCCAATTCTTTCCACATGCTGATGTTAGAGTACGGGGGGTGGCATGGTATGAGACGTAGGATTTCCGTTGAGGAATTGACCTCTTCCTTGACCCTGTAGAGGGTTTCCATGTTGCGTTGAGTGCGTATTAACCATCATAGCATCTACTAGTAAGGCTTTTAACTTGGTTTCCCACAGACGGCGCCAATGTAGTTGCAGAGAACTGGGGGATGTTCCGAAACTCAAATCTTCACTTCGGTTATCCTATAAGGCCCTAGAGTTGGTCTTCAGGGTAGATACTCCGATGCCTAAATTAGCAATAATCGGAACTACCTGTTATGGAGTAAGAGTAAGAGTTAAGTTTGAGGTCAGTTTCAAGTACCTTTCTGAGGTGGACCCTAGGGGGTATTTATAAGCCTTCAAAAGGGTGTCCACATGTTGATCCTTCTAAGAAACTAGGGTAAAGTGTGTCAACCATCGTTGGTATCTCTCATGAGGAATTTGTGTGCGTTCGGAGCTATTGTGGAGCGGGAGCAGAGGGGACGAGCTCAAATTCGACCGAGCTAGTCGCTCTTCAATCAAGTCAAGGTAACTAGATTGCTGGGAACAGTTTTGGCTGTCTGAGGTTATGTACCTCGAACTGCTATGAGGTACGTGACCTCTGACTACCCACATACCTCTGATACCTCATGACCTCTGACTACCAACATACCTCTGATACCCCATGACCACTGACTAGCACCACTACAGATGGTTTTTCTGCTCTCATCTTATTAAGATTTTTTTCTTTTCTTTTGGCCTCTTCTTTATTTAAGGGGTTTTGTTTCAATACGATCTAGGTTTCTCTTGGGGCTAGCATGGTTTATCTCAAGGTTTTGGATGATGGAAACGGCTTAAGGGATGCAAGATCTCATTGTCTATGGAAGGACAAGCCTTTACCATTAGCCAAGGAAGGAGAAGGATGGTGGTCGGTGGCTTTAAGAAAGGATGATGGTAGTATTTTCCCATAAGGCAACAGGGAGGATGGCACATTAGAGGACAACGGGTGTTAGCAGGGCCAAGAGGCAAGGAGCAAGGGAGGGTGGGCATCAATTGGTTTTGGTAGAAACTGAAATAAAAAATTAACTAACTGATATGTTTTTTTCCTCCATTTTTAGAAATCAAAAACTACACTAGAAAAGCATCTATAACTTTGGTGCAGCTATCAAAGTTTTCGATGTTTTCGATTTGGATCCCATTCAACCAAAATTGGGTGATAACAAAGCAAGGAAGGTTGTTGAAGAAGATAAACCCTCATCACCATCTTCTTTAGTAGAGATAGGAGTCTGGAAAGGAAGAGATAGAGCTCAAACAACTAGAATCATGAGAGATGAGGTTGTGTGAAACTCATTGATAGAAAAAGAGTGGTGATTGTGAGTTCTATGGGAAACTTCCTATCATCTTGTAAAAATTTTAGTTTGAAATGTAAAGAAGATATTTTTTGGTCAAAGTAAAAGAAGAAGATGAAGAATTAGGCTTTCTCCAAAATTTTTTTTTTTTAAAAAAGGGAAATAACAAATAGTATTGGAGAAGCAGACATATGTGGGACTAGCTATGGGTTTTCACCTTTAATTAGTCTAAATTTAAAAGTTTGAAATTTTAAATTAAGCTTTACTTATTAGATATTTATTATTTATTATTTTTAATTAATATATAAATTTTTTAATTAAGTGGGTTGGGGTCTCTACTGTGGTTTCCAATTTTGAGACTTTAATAAGCTTGGAACACTGAGACCAATCTTTCAGTGTGATTTTTTAGTAACCAACGATCAACTGACTGCTTGCCTAAGCCTAGGGCAAGAAGCCGCATTGGCAACATTGATGTCAAAGATTAGATGTTTTCTCGTTAAATTGACACTTTATTCATTCACTATATTACTTGAACAAATAGTACACTAGCTAATAATTTTTGAACATCACATGGAGGCATGGCAGTAGGGAAGACAATTATTGGGTGAATTGGGTTATCTGCCTTCCGAGTTTGAGTAGGGTTCAGTTTTTGTCCTTATGTTGCTTTTCTTTTCTGGCCAATTAGGTCCCTGGGGTTTAGTTTTGTGGCATTTTAATTCTTGGGTCACTGGTTATTCAGGTATGTTGGTTGTTCAGCAAGTAGACAACACGGACTAGCTTTAATGTCCAACTCTAGCTTAGTTCCAAAGCCAGGGAAATTTTCACAATAACTAGATTCACCATTAGTTTAAGTTTTTTTTTTTTTTTTTTTTTTTTAACTCTTGTATTATAATTTATTATCTCGATAACTGGAACAACACCCTTTTAGGTTAGGGTGGTAAGTTCAATACCTTTCTTAGATTGAGTCTTTTATTTCAACAAGGCTTGACAACCCATGTAGGTTCGATGAGCTAACTTAGCATTGATTAATGAAAATTGGTTATTATAATAAAAAAAAATGTAACATGTTTTGTTTTTTAATATTAATATACAAGTATTTATCTATTAAAATTGTTAATTATTTAGCATTTTTTTAATCAATATGAAAAATAAAATATAAAGATGATGCCTTTTTTATAAAAAAAAAGTCCTTTTTAGTTGTTTTTAGCATTACATTGTATTAAAAGATTTTTTAGAAAAAAATTTATCAAATAACTCTAGCCTCTAAAAGTGCTTACATAAAACATTTTACTAAATAGATTCATCTTCTCACAAACAAGATTTCTACCAAAAACTTTAGTCACACAAAAAGGCTCTTAGATAAATAATATAATATTTTACTTATGTAAAATAATTGTATTTTTCTTTAATTATTTTATCCCAATCAAGTATTGTAAGGGATGGGGTGCGTTTCTTATCTTTTTTTCTTTTCATGGAACTGTAGATTTAGTTGTATAAAACTACACATAGATAGTAGTTCTTACTTCTTAAACTTTTCAGTTTTCTCTTCTACATGATTGCTTTGTTGCTTCTTCGCATTCTTTGTCATGTATCTTCAAAATTTTTAATGTGTGAACTCATTGAGGTTGGCTCAAATGATTAAGAAATCATCCAAATCATATTAAAATTACAAGTTCAAATCTCTCTAATGCTATTTGGATGCAAACAATTTTAATGACCATGTCTACATCCACAAAGGTGAAACCTTACTACTTGTGAATGAAGTGATTTGCAAGTATTTGAAAGATTAATTAGCCTAAAAGCTTGAATACTCATAACAAAAAAAATTATTATGTGCTTTCTCTCTTAATTTTTTTAGTCTTTTGAAAATTTTTTGGTTTCTCTACTAAAGTTCATTTTTTTTCTTTTTTTGTTTGTTTGTTTTCTATTTTTTTGAATTGATTTTTTTCTCAAATGTCTTTGAATATGAAATTTGCATCTTTAGAAGGTTGAGGCTTTCGGTTTGCTTCAATTTTTCTTGAAAGTACCACATTTCACTTTGAATTGAAATCCTCAATTTATGAGCCCTCACAGGAAGATAATAAAGTTAGGTTTTTTTTATCAATGCAAAGAAGAAAATGGTGTGTTCGTTTCTAAGGGGATTTTGGAACTCATTTTCTCATTTATACAATCAAAAATGATGTACAACATCTACAAAAAGAGGGACGAAAAATAAAAAACGTGGGTTTGATTTTGGGAAAAAAAAAAAAAAAAGAGGGACAAAATAGTCTTAATAACTCAAAAATTTTATGCTCTTGTGAAAGAACAATTTGTCTTGTGCTAATAACAATATCGCTCTTTTGGCTGCCAAAAACCTCTAAATTACCCTTCCACCCACTTGTAAGTTATGAAGCTAGTTTCCCTTAAAGTATAAAAGTATCACCTTAAGCCCCTAAACTTCACAAGTTTGGGGTTTTGACTCCAATTTATTGCTGAAACCCCATTTGCCTCACATGGTTGTTACTAAGTACAGTGATATGGGTAATTTTTTTATATAACCTTTTTATACAATTTTCACGTATTACTGAATAAATGAATACATTCAATATCATATGTCCTAAATGAATAAAAAAAAATTAAATTATTTAAATAAAACAAAATTGTATAGAAAAAATAGTACAAAAAAATTGTTCCTAAATCATTTTTCTTGTTACTAAATTGTCAAAAAGCTCCATGTCACTCCACATGTTGGCATATTAATCCACCATGGCATGCCATGTCCAATTTTCGCCAAATAACTTATAGGTCCTTTTGGTAAAAAAAAGTATAGAAAAACGAATAAAAAAATGACTAAATCAAAGTTCATATACAAGATTTCGATATCTTTTCTCGATCCCTTTGTTCCTTTTCTTCATTAGGCTTTGGCCGAGGCTGCCATTGAACAACTTCCAAAATCTTAACGTAGACGCCAATTCATACCACACACAAACAAGCATGTGCTTACAACTAAACAAATAACAATGTGAAAAACTTATCTAGGTTTTACGTGACTAAGATTTTGACTCTGGGTTTGTCGTTATGTCTAGGCCTGGTGTTAGCACTTTTCAAGAAGGAATGAAACTCAGCGACTAAAAATGAAAAGGCAAGCTTTGGTTAATCCATACAATATCATCGCCACTGAGCAGAGGTATCTAAAATTGATTGAGGAGGTTGGCGACATTATGAACTAGTTAATGAGTTTTCTCGATTTGCAGAAGATGAAGATTTAGGAAATGGTGGTGAAGATTATGTCTGCAATTTGTTGTTTGATTTATACAAATCATATTAAATCTGAGTAAAAATCAAAATCCCATAAATTCGGGTAAAATCACAGTAAACTCTTAAAATCAAATAAAATCTCACAAAATCAAGAGTTACAAATTTAAAAGGTTTTATAAATTTTTATATAAAACCTTGACTAATAATGCCAAATAGCACGTTGGTAGAGTGGGTTGTTTTATAATGGTTCAAATTTTGGCCATGTAATTTGGTTTTTTTTTTTTTTTTTTGGTCATCGAGCAAAAATTTTAAGGTTTTACTAATTTTTTACAAGTTAAACTAACAATTTTTTATGAAATATTTTTTTAGGCAAAAAACATTAAAATTTGAAACACTTTAATGGTTTTGAAATGGAAAAATGTTCAAGACTTGGAATTATTAATTAGTAATTAGAATTTTTAGATAAATTCTACATTTGAATATTTGATGTTAAATTTTAATAATATACAATTGTTGAGGATAAATTTGTATTGTTTTGGAACCCACAACATGTGCAGTGTCACATCAGCAAGAATGGCTTTGGACTTGTGACTAGGAAGGGTTCACATGATCTACTTCTACAGCAGATCCATAATGTTTTATTTTTTGCTAATAACTGCAACAGAGTCAGCATTGCCAGAAGCATCATTCATCTACTTCGTTGGAAATTTGCAAACATGGTCTTCTTCAATATCATTCCCATATACATGGCTAGACTTGGCTGCATCTAACTTTGTGACATGGCTGGACATTTTTTACGATCATGATCTCTACTACAACATTTACCGCTACATCTTTCTCGCTCCCAGCAATGGACAAAGAGATTATATTGCTACATCTAAATGGCTCCCATTGAAGGATAATGAGCTGATCTTTTATCACATCCATAAAACTCTCGACAATGGATAAAGAGTTAGATATTTACTTTACACATCTTTATCACTGGTTCCCATTAATGAACAATGGACTGATTCTATTACATCTACACAGCTTCTAACAATGGACAAAGGGCCAAATCTGCTATCTCATTTAGCCTCCAACAATAGGCAAAAGGCTACACAATTCTATATATCTTCATTACACCAGCTCATAGAAATGAACAAAGGGTTGAATCTCTAGACATTTTATCTTGCTGGCTCCCTAAACTGAACAAAGAGTCAGTGTAACTCGGTATGATTAGCATGAGGTCAGTAATAGTCGCAACCATGCAATTGGTTGGGATGGCTACCCTCTAGCAATAAAAATCCATCAAGTTGTGGCCAATAGCACCTTGGTGATAGCCTGTGCATGGTGGTGTGATGCCTGGTGGCCAACAACAACCAAGGCCATCTTCTAATAGTGCGGGTACGACAAGAAAGGCTAGCATTTGATTGTGGTATCACACTTTGTCATATCAAAGGCCATAGATGTGGCTAGCATCCTTCTTTTATGGACAAAACTCTACCCATTTTTATCACATATTCATGACTATGGTGGGGTCTTGAAATAATGAGATTTATCCCTTTCACGGCTCGATGGATTAATGGGAATGCTTTTTTGATTCCACATAGTTTACGCTCTAGCCATGGGCAAAGCTAGCCACTATTGGCCCTCTAGTTATAGGAAAGCTATTCATGGCTGATCCTACAACATTCATACAACATGCCTAATAGTCATGCACATCATTATTCTTCTATACAAAGGGACAAAATTATTGGTCGTCAATAATCTCGATCTATCACACATTTCTTTTATATTTTTACATGTTGGTAGGTATCGTTGACCAATGGCTATTAGGTTGGTAAAACAATATCACGGCACACATGCATATTACTTATTTTTTATTTTAGCACAATGGCAAACATAAATAGCAATATTATACAAGTGCTCGCAATGGCTAATGGATGAAAGGGTGCAATAGTGTTCATTCTTACCATTCCCTTCGATATATAAGGGAATATCCTTTTTCACTACACATACGTATACATTTTACATTTACACATTTGAACAAGTACTTATTCATATTTTGCTCTTTGTTGCAGATAACACAAACTCATGAATCCAAGCTCATGGGGATTACTTGGGATAAACTATGGGAGTAATGGCTTGGTAAGCATGGATGGATGAATCTTGCTCGTCTGACAAATTAAAATACTAGTGCCAGCCAAGCTTGGAGATGGCGATGTTGCCTAACTTCAAAGGTTGGGTGGGAAAGACATAAGGGTAAAGCTTGATCCTAAAACTACACCATTTGATGCTAACTTTAAAAATCAACCAAAGATACCATTTGAGTCTCCATCACCAGTTTACAACTATATTTAATATTTAGGTGGATACACAAGTTCCATTGCATTGGAAACTGTTAAAAAAGATTATGCTTGGAAAAATACCAAAATCTCAGATAAAGATGACTTAGCCCGCAGTGCTCAAGTGCCCCCCATATATGGTATTTCGTATGGACAGAAAATTGCCAAAAGTAGAAAGGCTCCAACAAACTAGTAGTCCTTCGCTAGAACCACTAGACAATTTATAATTTCACTTCAAAAAGCTGTTAGAAATGCTCAAATCCACTCAAAACTCGACATCCTCACCCAACCTAGATATACTTGTTGGATTATTGGATTACTCTAGCCCACCATCTCAAAATTACCAAAATGCCACTCCATATAGATATATTGATTTTTCCTCCATTTTTCAGGAGCTTTTAGTAGATTTTATAGATCCAACTTCCTCTTCATGCTTCAAACCTCATTTTCCCTTTGAAGAACCTTTCACCTTCAACCTTTCACCTCATACACTAAAATCTCCTAGAAATCTCTATTTTTTCTCATGTTTTGTACACTTCCAACCCTGCATAATACACTCCAAACTTGCAGAACATCATGGTTGGGGGACTGCATGTTATAGTTTCAGATTTTGGGTTGTTTTCTTGAGCATTAGAGGATCAAACAATAGAGTTAGCATCAAGAAACAAGATCAAGTCCTTTGTTAGTAAGGCCCCACAACAATTATCCTTCCTTCTACCATCACTACTTTCAAGTTCAATCCTTTCTTTTTGTGAAAGTTTGAAGAAGATTACTGTGCTTTAACTACAACACGAAGGCTGCTCGTTATAGAGTGCGAGTATTCATCAAGGACAATAGAGGGCATATTTATTGTGTTTATTATTATACTATAGTGTATTATGTATAAATGCGTTTCTCAAGTTGTAACATTTGTTCTATATATACATTGTCTATCCTTACTACTTCTACCACAATGTACATCTCTTTTTCATTATATTCGGTAGTTGTGTAATTATTCTTGGCTCTTGAAACCCCGTCATTGTCGCTTAGCTCACCTAGCTTGGTTGAGTATTTACGCCTTCAGACTTTGCTGGAGAACTTCATACTGATCATCTTTGCTAGATAGAAGAAGATGGCTCATCACTACAAAAAAAATGGCTATTTGCCAGCGCATAATACATTGGAAAATGAGTCAAAAGCATTGGAAATAACTTATTTTCTAACGTTGGAAAATGTCGCTGGAAAAATACTGCCTAGAAAATAATTATTTTCCAGCACATAGAGTGCGCTAGAAAATAATTCACAATATTTTACAGCGTAGTGCGCTGGAAAATACATGTAAACGGCATGCAGATGACAGCTAATTGTCTACTGTTAACTTTTTTTTCCAGCGTAATGCGCTGGAAATCTTCGAATGCTGTATGCTAGAAAACAAATTGCTACTTATTTTCCAATGTTATACGCTGGATAATAATGTTGAGGATAATGCATTTATCAAGTTATTTTCCAACAAAATACACTGGAAAATAATCCTTGCGATAACAGTCAACACTATGAAAAAAAGTGAACTTATGTTCTAGCGGGAAGCGTTGGAAAATTATCTTGAGAATAAGCATCATCAACTCATTTTTCAGCACAATACACTGGAAACTTGTCTACAAATAAAAAATAAAAAAAAAAGAACTTACTCTTAGTTTCCAGCAGAATGCACTGGAAACAAAGAGTCAATTAACCAAAAAAAATATAATTTTCAATTTTTTAATGTGAAAATTTTCAATTAAAACCAATTATAATTGTAATATATATATACACACACCACTTAAATATCTTTAAAATAATATCATTTGAATAATTAAATCAACTTTAATTAATGAATATCACACATAAAAACACAATAATATTTGACAAATTTTACTTTATAAATTCAATCATATACAAAACTTTACATAATACATGTATTCTCTTAATTTTTTTCTAAATAAATTTAATTAAGTACATAAATACACTTTAATCCCATGTAATTCATAAAATTACAAAAATTTAATTAAAACTAAATGATTATGGATAATACTTGCGGGCTTTTGAGGAGGCTCACAAATGATCTGGTATTTTTCATGATTCTGTAGTATAAAGAACACATCTGCTGGCTTCAACCACCTAGTTTAGGCTTCTCGAAACAGCTTATTAATATCATACCCTAAGATTACTCCAACAAGTGAAACAATTTTTCTACTAAATCACATGCACAAATTCTACTCAACAAGTGAACTTAAATAACTAAAATTGACATTAAAAAAAAAAAAAAAAAAGTTCCGCCCCAAATTACAAAATTTAATTATCACAATCAAAATTCTTAGACGTTTCAATGCACTTTACAATTTCTTCATTTAATTAAAGAAAATGAACACTAAATCTCTAAGCTTATACATAAACAACTTCAATGGATCAACTAAATTCCTTAATTAGAACGAAGCATTAAAAACAATGGAACCTAACAAATTAACTGAAGAGAGAAAAAGCTTTAAACTCCTTACCCGATTCCATCGTTTCCAATTTGCGAAAAAGATGAAAGCCAAACAAATTGTAGAGAGAACACTATTCCTTCGTTCGTTTGAAGCGCAGAGTGTTAGAACTCAATTTAGCACAAAGATAAGAAGCTTAGCCGCGGCAGAGACTACTGCCAAAGACGAGGAGGTAATAGGAGAGAAATGGAGAGAAATGGGAAGTAGAAGTGGTAAAAGAGAGAATGAAGGTGCAGATAGGGAGGAAGTATATTTGTATAGACATTAAATTATTTTCCAGAGCATTGCGCTTGAAAATAAGATAAGTTTTCAAAATTAAAAGCAAAAAGGCAACATTTCAAAATTTTTCACATGGTGGAAGGTGGAGTATACTTATTTTCCAATGCACTACGCTAGAAAATAAGCTAAAATTTAATATTATTTGAAAAGAGGGCGGCATTTCGAAAATTTTCACATGGTGGAAGGCGGAGTATACCTATTTTTCAGTGCATTGCGCTGGAAAATAAGCTAAATTTTGATATTATTTGAAAAGAGGGTGGCATTTCAAAACTCTTCACATGGGGAAGGCCGGGTATACTTATTTTCCAGTGCATTGCACTGGAAAATGAGCTGAATTTTGATATTGCTTGAAAAGAAGGCGGCATTTCAAAATTTTACAAGGGGTAATGGAGTGACACTTATTTTCCAGTGCAATGTGCTGGAAAATATCCTAAATGGTGCAAAGTACTTATTTTCCAGTGTATTGCACTGGAAAATAGTTTGACCTATTTTCCAGTGCATTGCACTGGAAAATACTTCAAATGCTGAAAATTCAAAGAAAGAACTTAGCACATTTATTTTTTGGAAAATGACATAAAATAAGTTCTTGGAAGGAGAGGCAGGATTTTGTAAATTTCTACTAAAATCACAATATACTTATATTGCAATCATATATCACAATAAGTGTTTTCTAACATAATATATTACAAAATGTGACTACTTGAATGCATTGATTTTGAAATAATGAGTTTAGAGACAATAAATACACACATAAGACAAAATATCCCTAGTTGTTTTCAAATAAAAATGCTAGTACCTAATGACATATTCATCATATAACTTATATATGGTATTAATCATTTACCATAAAGGAGAAGTTACATTATTGAATATTACTTTCTTTTATATTAAATCATGTTACTTGTTAAATACAAGTCATTATTTAGTAAATAATTTATTAATTGAAAAATTTAGCTTAATCAACTATTACTATTTTTTTAACTTATTATTTGTACTTTTATGATTAAATAACAATTTGTTATTCAACAACTTTTACTTGTGAAAATCAAATTTCATGCAAAATTAAATAAAAAGAATTAATAATGTAATTATATTATTACCTTAATAATTTCTTTCAATTTTATAGCTATCAAGAACAAAATGATAATCTCATCTCTAATATAGAAACATGGCCAATAGATTAGGCTATAAGAGAAAACATTTTATTGGTATTATAGTTTTGGATCATAAGAGTGCATGAAAATTTGGATTAAAAACAACAAAATGACAACTTTTTTTCATCAAAATATCTTGAAACACTAAGCAAGGTAGAATGCACAAGTTATTTAAACTTGGATAAGAGTTTTAACGAATAGATTGAAAATTAACTTCTAATTTTCACCAATTAATGCAAATCAAATTAACCATCAAAATAAGAAATGACAATGGTGAAAAAAGAAAAAAAGATTAATTAACATGCAATAGTTCTTATGCATAAATTTTGAACTTTAACAGTAGATAAATTGACATAAAGATGACGCATTATAATCTTTAAACTAAATGGCAATGTAGATAATTTATAACTTATCTAGTTCAATTTCATTATATCTCCTTTATGAAAAGTAAAAATACAAGAAAAAAATGCATAATACACATACAACACAAGCACAAGCACACGTAAGATGAGGAAAACCTTGTCTTTTCTTATAGAGTTCTTTATTTTGTATTACCTTTTTTTTATTAATAAATCTCTAAAATTATTTATTTCTTTATTCCTCCTTATTAATTAGTGGACCATGTGGTACCAATTCAATAACTTTTTAAGAATACTTTTCATCAATACCATAACACCATCCATCAAAACAAAAATTACAAGCAACTCAGTGAAAAAAAACTTATATAAATGAAGCCAAAAATGACAAACAAAACTGACAAAACTAACAAAAACCAATAAATCCAGTATGGCCAAAAAACACACAACCCATCTTAAGATCCAACCCAACAAACAAATCCCAAACTCACAAAGATAACACAAAAAGTTACAAACAAATTAAACCAATGAAACCAATCTGCATGGCCAAAAAAACCAAAATCCATCTTAAGATCAAACCCAAAAAACAGAAAATCTAAAAGTACTAAAGAATTGAACAAGTTTACCTGAAAATCAAAGCAAGGAGCAAGCTTTGATCTTATTTATGCTAGGAATAATTTGATCGGCGGGGAGGCAAAAGGACGGTGCCGATTGGGGCTGCTAAGCTAAAAAAAAGTCAGCAAATTTTTAAAAAAAATGGGAGAAAAACATACAAATAGGTTGAAACCTTGCTGAACATACCTTTTTCGATGACCAAACAACAAGAATTGACTAAAAACAAAGTGGCAGCTTGAGGCACAGCGGAGATGGCTGAAACTGGGAAAGCCAAAACGGAGATGAGGAAGGAAAGGAGCTTTTTGTAGGCCTAGGGGTGTTTTGTTGGGCTTGGGATGGTTTTTTTTTTTTTTTTTCAGCTTTTTGAAAATAGGAGATGGGAGTTGGGAGTTGTGACGGGTTGTAAATAGTTGTAAGCATAAATATTTTCCAACGCACGTTGTTGGAAAATATGAAAGTGCAGTTAGTCATCACCGTTAACTCATTATTTTCTAGCGTGTTGCATTGGAAAATATTTTTTGTCAATGTCAATTATTTTTTATAAATTAAATAATTATTATTTATATTATTTTCTAGTGTTTGCCGTTAGAAAATAGTAAGGCACAAAAAGTTCTTTTGGCACGTCATTATTTTCCAGTGTTCAACACTGGAAAATACTTGTTTCTGTCAAATATTCATGTAAATGAAGATATTTACAAGCAACTTTATTTTCTAGTGCAATGCACTGGAAAATAGTTAATTATGTGGTAGCGTAATCTTGCACTGAAAAATACCCGTTGGAAAATGGACAAAATTCTAGTAGTGCATGGCCCGTAGCCTCTTGCACGTGAAATGAGTGCAAGCCAAAAAGACCCTTCTTATCTCTTGTGGGGGGATCTTAGTCAGCCTCAATTCCACATCATCATCACTGTTGACTCATCATCACTGTTGACTCATCAACCCTCTATGCATACACTACCTCAACAATAATTTTAAAATTAATTTAGTAAACTCTTGATTTTAACAATTCAATTTTATGATTTTGATTTTACTTACCCAAAATGAGTTTACCTAAACTTTGAATTTTGAGAACCTTGCTTATTGGTGTTGGGATAATTGAGCCTCTAATTAAGGTATTAGAAAGGGGCAGTGAAATGGGTAAAGAGGTGCAATTAGATGTCTCCAGAAATTAACTTTTAATTTAGACAATGCATGGTTGGTTTCATCTCACGACAACCTACTGAATTTTCTAAAGATATGCTCTCATTGGTGTTAAAGAAATAAAAGAGAGTCATGGTTGAAGAAGGTGTCATTCCAACATTGATCAAGCTTTGAATATCAAAATATGAAATTGTACAAATAAATTCCATAGATTTCCTTCAAGATATAGCATTTAGGGATTAATCAATTCATCAAATTGTGTTATGAGAAGGAGGAATCCATGGTATGCATTTTAGATCCACAAATAGATTTCACATCTAGCACCATTGAATCTAAACTGTAATCTTCTTTCCTCCCTCTTTAATTTTTACTATATATTTACTTATGTTTTCTACAAGTTTATTTTTCCTATTCCATTAGATTTTTCCTCCTTCATGTTTTTTTAGTTTTATACTTTGATTTAATTAGGTTAAATACCCTTTTTGGTCCCTCTACTATAAGAAAAAGCCCATTTTTAGTCCCTGTACCGAAAAAATTCCCTTTTTGATCCTTACTGTTCATAAATCCGGTCCCTTTTTGGTCCCTTCGTTAAATTTTGGCTTACGTAGCATGTTAATTAACGGTAAAAAAAATTTTTTTTCTTTACATAAATTACGTGTGAAATTCATTTAGCAAAACTTGATGACATGGCCAATTTTTTATCTTTAATTACCAATTTACCCTCATTTTCTTCCCCCATCCTCTCCTTCCTTCAGCCTTTCTTCTTTTCTTTTTTTTTTCTTTTTTCTTTTTTTTCTTACCTTTAGGTGAACCCATGAGTCTGGGTTCGTCGCGATGAACCCAACTAGTGGGTTCATCGCGATGAACCCAGCTAGTGGGTTCGTTGCGAACTCAAGAGCCTGGGTTCGTCACGATGAACCTAGCTCGTGGGGTCGTCGCAATGAACCCAGCTCGTGGGTTCGTCGTGATGAACCCAGCTCGTGGGTTCGCGACGAACCCAGGAGCGTGGATTCGCGACGAACCCAGGAGCATGGATTCGCGACGGCACTTCAAGCGCGGAAAAATGTTAGTTGGTAAGATTGGATTGATTTGGTTAAATGATTTTGTGATCAATTGTTTAATTAACTGTTTTTAATAGGTTCTTCCAAGAAGGAAGTTGAATAGGTTTTGTTGGTTCGCGATGAACCCAGTCGCCTGGAGGTGATCGGTTTGATTTTCTAGTTTAGGCCATTGACATTGAGTGCTGGAATTTCAAATCCTCAATTTTCAATTTCCTGAAATTTTTGTTGCTCTTGGGTTTTCTGTTGTTGGATGTTTCTAGAACTGTTTGTTTCTAGAGCTATTGTTGGATGTTTCTTATTTTTGGTAGGGATTGAGAACCCAGCTCGCACCTGAGTTTGCGACTTGGCAGAGATTGAGAACCCAGCTTGCGTCTGGGTATGTCACAAACCCAGGCGCGAGCTGGGTTCATTGCCAACCCAATCACACGAGCTGGGTTCACTGCCAACCCAGTTGCGAACCCAGTCTCGCAAGCTGGGTTCATCCTAGGTTCGCAATGAACTCAGGCGCCTGGGTTCATCACAAACCTGCGAGCTGGGTTCGCCTGAAGGTAAAAGGAAAAAAGGACAAAAAAAAAAAAAGCTAGAGGAAGTGAGGTGACGTGGAGGGTGACGTGAAGGGTGAGGTAAAGTCCACATAAACATATTTTACGCATTGGTATACCATGTCAGCTGTTCTAGTTAAGTTAACATGCCACGTAAGCCAAAATTTAACGGAAGGACCAAAAAGGGGCCGGATTTATGAACAGTAAGGATCAAAAAGGAGATTTTTTCGGTACAAGGACTAAAAAGGGGCTTTTTCCTATAGTAGAGGGACAAAAAAGGGTATTTAACCATTTAATTATTATGAACTAATTTATAGGTGGATGCTTTACCTTTCTCATCTTTTCTACCTCCCCAATTTCTCATGCATTTATAGACCATGTAATTGTGATTGACACCTACTTTCTTATGCAATTACAATGGTGTTAAGCCCTACCATGTAACTCCGCACTTGGTGGGTGAATAAGCCATGTAACTCCTCTTTATACTATAATTTATTCTTGTAACTTTTTCCATTCTTTTGGCCTATATATAGGGCTTATAACTTATATGAAAATGAAATGCAAGAAAGTGAAGAATGAAAAATTTTGTTGTATTGTCTTACATTGTCTCTCCTTTACTTTCTCTTTACTTGTTTCCACATAGCTTGAGAATACTAAATAAACAAAAGGGGTTACATGGGCCTTTTTTTTTTGTAGGATTTTGACCACCCAAAAGGTCCTTTGATCCACATCAACATCCACATGAAAAAGTGGAACCAAATGAAGGAAAAGAATAGATGGCATGAGGTCACATGCGTTGGGCCATTAATGATAAGGATTGATTTGCATCTTTCTAGGAGTTTAAGGGCTTATTTGTATTTTTTTTTATTTGAGAGTTCACGTGTTAATTTGGAGTAAATTTGGGGGTTTAAAAGGGGGGTCTTGCTTTTATTGAAAGAAGAAAAGAAAACATCAGTGTTAGGATGGTCAAGTAGTCTAAGGCACCAAACTCAAGTTCTTGTCATCGAAGGAGGGTGTAGGTTCAAATCCTAGTTCTAACAATCTTTGCTATAGTCTGTTATACCAAAGAAACAAGAAAACAAAACATCACATAAGCAAGTTTTAATTCTTTAATGAATGAATCCTTTTAAGAGGCACGCAACAAGAACAACATGGAGACATCTATGCCAAAATCAAGTGGAAAATTACTAAAGATACTACAATGTCTTTTTTAGACCTAAAATTTATTTTAAATTGACTCAGTATAAAGAATATGAAAATAAATCAACTAATGAAAGAAATAGATAGCCCAATGCCATAGAGAACTTCAAATTATTAGATAAAATACTTAAAAAATTAAAAGAATATTAAAAAATTAAAAATTTGCAATTTTTAAGTAGAGAAAGAAAGTTTTTTTGTTTTTTTGTTTTTTTTTTTTTTGAGCATAATGGAGTAGAGAGATTTAAGAACCCAATTCCTAATTAATAAAATCTATATAAGTTCATTTCAATTTGCGCCACAATCTTCATTTTTTGAAAACTCTTTACCTAGATCCTGGATGTTTTCTTGATGTATGAAATTGATGTATGAAATGATTCATGTAATTTGAGTTTTAATAACAAAAGTTTGATAAATAAAAGTTGAGGTACCATATTTAATATTTTTAAAAAATTTAGGGGGCCAGCTGCTCATTGCCATACATTTGCCTCTGTCCCGGTGGAGGATCATAAGTCCAATTAATCATGTGGGGGCGCAAGCGATAAGGTACAAAGCAAATGGATTTGAAAAAGATATATGTATTTATAATTTTGTATAATATTATAAAGTTATAATTATAAAGTTTTCTTATATAATTAAAGTTTTTAATTTGGTGATTTATTTATGATATTGTACATATTATGCATTTAATAATATATCATAATTATAAATTTATAATTATATATGATATTATAAATATATTATTTTATTTCACCCAAAGATTTGTAGCTTAATTGTTAAAGAGATTTATTATTTATCTTATTAATCAAAATTTGATTTTTTAAGAAGGGTTTATTTAACATGTGTCGTTAGAACATAAGTTAAGGATACAATAAATGTATCCTTTTATAATTAATTTACATTAAAAATTATAAAAGTTAACATTATTTTAACATCACTGACACGTAATTATATTTTAATTAGTTAATTAATTAAACTTAAGTTAATATTTATATTTTTAATAAAAATTAATTATAAAAAA